GCTATAAATAAAAGCAGGTATCAAAGATGATACTAAAAAAAAAAGTAATGCATATCAATTGCAGACACAACTTTGACACGCCCTCTTCCTCCGACCGACATTTGGGTGACTAAAGATAACCCAAAATACCACAAATCCTTGAATTAGTGCATGATAAGCTTACTTCGAGATGAGGTTATTCGAGGGAGCGCTACATCAAATTTCTGGCCAATATGAGTGGCGTTTATTACAAAGGGGGAAAAGGGGGCCTTATGATTCGAGAGGACGTGCAAATGTGAGAATTAACGACAAGGGTAGACAGGACTTAAGGGGTAGCAAAAATAAACCAAAGGAAGAAAAAGTCATCACTGCGAAAACTCTCCTTTTGGCGGTTGAATAAATGTTTTGTCAACAAGATGCTATCTTTGGCTCAGACGAATGTGTAATTTTACCTCGACACTGCTCGCCGTAAGATGTATACAGATGGGCGTATCAAAAAAATTGCGCCGGATGTTATTGAGATCTTGAGACAATAATATCCTCTGTTAAAGCAAAATATCAAGACCTCCACAGTGATTTTCTTTGTCTGGTCCGGTAGTAAGACATAAAACAGAACTGCTTTCAATCACTTTATCTCTTTGCTTCCTGTTCCCAGTTGAGAAGCTCGAATTAAGTTGTAGCTCTGGTTGTGCGTCAAAGAACAGACCATCAAAGAAAACTAGACGCCGGGGAAAGGAATTCTATCCGTTTGACTCGTTCGCCTATTCACTCAACCTTAGTTAACTGCAAACCGCCAGCATGACTTTAATTAAGACGATATTTTCCGAAGTCAGGAAAAGGAAAGGAAAGGAGGAAAGGAGGTTATATATGTTTTGAGTTTTTTAGACTAGCGTAAGTAAGCGGCATGCTTCTCCTCTCGCGCGGTACTCGTACCTCGCCCTCGCCTGACCCTGGCGTCCTCTTGCTTGAAACTAAGGAACGTCATTGAAGCAAACCACAGAAGCAGAGGCCCGTGGGGGGGGGGGGTGACTCCCATATGAAACAGAAGGGAAGGCTCGTCGGAAATTTTGAATTTAACCCCTAAAGGAGACCATCTGGGCGTGGCTCAAGCTTTTTGTGACCCCTAAAGGAGACCAATCTGGGCGTGGCCAAAGCAAATTTTGACCCCTACTTTACGATAAGTTGTATAATCTCTTCGCGTGATTCTGTGTTTCTTCGCGGAACCCTAAACGAGACCTTTGCGGCTTAAAATATTGGCGCTTTGCCCGGAACAACCCTAAGCGAGACCAAAATCCAAAATTTACACCCCTAAGCAAGACGACGAGCATCCCCGTCTGTTTCATATGGGAGTCCCTCCCCGGGGGCAGAGGCAACTAGGACGTGTTGAATCACAACATTTGATAAACAAAGCAAAAGCCCACCACGTGCTTCTTAATAAACTGCCAATTTTCAGTTCGTCCTCTGAAAAACAACAACAATCTCGAATCATTTACGTTTCCATGTTTCCATTTACACATGCATGCTATACACTGAAGTTTTAAAAGGTGTGGCTCCCGACGGTAAGGGCGGTAAACGCATCTAGCCTTTCGCCTATTCATAAATTCATGTTTTGTCGACGTTTTCTCCTGCGTTGCCTTCCTGTCTGTTTAAGGTCTCTAATGCAAAACAAATAACGCCAGTTCTACATTTTTTAAACTAAAAGAATAACGGCGTGATCTCGTTAGCAAGCTTGGATGGCAAATGACAAATAAGGCTGACTTTTTAAAACATACGGACCTTTAGAATCCATTAGTTAAAATTGTTTCTGTGAGGAGAAAAGATGATCTCCTTCGAAACACTACCCTAAAGCAGCGGAGAATTTTTGAGTGACGTTACAAATGAACGGTTGCGAGGGGGACCAGGGGAAAGACTGTTAAGACATTCAATCTATTTCCCCCGTTTTCTCTGGTCCAGTCTCTGAGGGAGAAGTGCGGGCTCATTTGCGCAACAGGTTGTTCAGCCTTTACGAAACGTAATTTCTTTAATTCTCTAGGACTGTTTATAGTTCACCACTAAATTTTCTCCGGTTCTTATTGGTTTAAATCGATCACGTAACGCGATAGTGTTCATCCGTGGAGAGACACTATCAGCCCATAGTACGCGCCCGCGGAAAATACCCGGATGGATAGTGCCCGTCCGCGAAAAATACCTGGATTGATAGTACCCATCCGTGAAAAGTTTTGAATAGTTTGACGGCCGCGAAGTTAGGCAGATCGGAAAAACAGTGACTTTTCAATTCTGACAGGTATAACGTATTATTTAGCCAATGTACGGTTGCGAATTATTGACATTTGTGACAAGCTGTAGGCGCGGAAGAAAATTTAATGGTGAACAATAAAAACAATAGTGTGTTTATGTCTCGGAACTATCGGTCTGATACTTGCCCCTTGGAAATTTGATGTTCTTAAAACTAGCATATTGCAAATATTTGTTCTAAGAACATCAAATTTTCGCGGGGCAACTATCAGCTGATAGTTCCTCGACAGAAACACTATTGTTTAAATAGTGATTCTTGTGCTTAGCTGCCATGTATTTCCTTGTGCATCATATTAGAGAGTTAGTTGTTTTATCAAGATCAAACACCCCGGCTGATAACTTAGCTATTCTCATCAGCTATTTGCCTGCTGATACATTGAACATTGTAAGGATAGCATGCGGTTCGATTCGTCTTTGCATATTTACGCTGCTACTGATATAAGCGCTAACAATTTCTAGTGCGGCACGATTATAGCATAAAATTGGAGGTTAGAGACATGAAGGGATAACTGAAGAGAGTTCGAATGAAAAAGTAATACTTAAGGTATTTAATCGAATCAGTGCCCCATCCTCAAGTCAGGTAGAGTTAATAAACGCCCGGTCTCGAAGAAGCGTCCATCCCTTAGTCTCACGCCCAAACCTTTCACCGCCAAGCTGTCCAATTACACGGTAGGATCTAGGTACGAAATCACCCCTTTCCCCCCTACCACTAACTTATTGAGCTCAATGGCAATGAGACTGCAATTGACTAAGTACTACTAAGAGATTTACCTGATGAGCGAGTTTCTTAGTATTTTAAGAAACTTTCGATGGACGATAAAACTTCTACTCAGTTTGGTACATCTTCGCATTTTGTTACTGTTTAGTTTTGTTTGCAAATTGAACTTACTACTTTCTGAAAATATTGAAAATTCAAAAAGCATCCATCCTCGAATAAGGGCTCACCTTGAATAAGCGCCCACTCTCCAAGTCGAAAAAATTAATAAGCACCCACGAATTACCCACTACAAATATGAAGGGATAAATGAAAAAAAGTCGATTAACGCACTCAGAATAAATCATACCAGGTACTGTTCTTGTTAAAGGGAGGTAAACTGTAAGATTTTCGTATTTTTTAAATATTTAAAGTATACTTGTAAATTCACATGTATTTCACCACTTGGGTGCCATTTTTGAATATTTTTTAATAAACCTTCTATCATCATCAACTATCCCTTGTCGTTCACAGCATTCGCTCAAATTACTATGCAAGAGTTTGGAAAACTGATGTCAGTCCAACGATGAAACCAGGGGTAAATATCACCAAACTGTTGTGCTGCGTCGGTGGGGTTTATTACAAGATCATTTGGTTCTATTAACTGAGCACATAATGTAAAGGGGCTACCGCTAGAAACGTCATGTTGAAAAAAAAATCTTTGGTTGGTACAACCAAATAAATATTTTGCAACTATGAAACCACCTGATGCAATGGAATGGAAGCAGAGATTCTTTAGTCTGGCGTGTTTTGTAATCAAATTTACATGGGCTTTTGTTTAGATTTTATCAGTCAACACTAAACATCAGCTATTAACAGCAATCGATTAAGCTGGGCCAGCTCTGGTACAGAAGACTTCAACACGCACTCCCAAAACATTTATTACAGTCTCGCAAGTCAAAGAAGATTGAAGGCAGATCTTGAGGCCTTTTACAGACGCAACCTAAAAGTCTTTTCAGTGGACGGCTGACTTCGACCATCTGCGGAAAGTTATCTAGTGTTTTGAGAATCATTTCTAATTTAGGCTGATAGTTTCTAAAGAAACTGTTTGGCGCTGCGTCGGTGGGGGTAACGAAATAATTTTTATAACCGTAACGGTGGCCAATTTACCATTTCAACTTTGTTGATATATTCATATCATTTCTAATTTAGCTTATTTGTCTTGGAACAGAATGTTTGGTGAAAATGATTACTCTTGTTAAACATATATTTGAGCACAAAAAACGATAAACAGTGTGCAATTCATAGATTATTCTAGATAACTCTTTAATAAAGCTTTTTCCTGTCATGGCTACAACGTTAGATAAAAGAACAAAGAACTGAATCATTTCATTGAATATACGCACTCTTTCGAGTAAAAACTTTAAACAGACTAACCGCAAATAGCATTTAATTCTGTCCCACAAAACCGCAATACTCTTTGTTGAATTACAATTAAACCAAGTGCCCATTGCAATAGCGGGGCGTTGCAGAACCCAACTCAGCTAACAAATTGTTTTTCATGTGTTTTTCGAATGACTGTTTGAAAACCATACAAGTGTGAGTTGTTCCTTTCACAGCAGGGACTCCGACACGATGTCTTCGTCCCTAAATGGGAAAGCTTTGTTTATTGCCGAGCAAATTACTTATCACATAGTGTGCCAGGAGGGGGAATGGGGTGCTAAGAAACCTTTTGTGCGAGTGTGCTCCACTGTACACGCTCGTCTGAACGCTTACTTTTTCATTTATCAGAGATACCTCTTTCATATATCATTCGCAAAAGAACAGTTCTCCTTTCGGGTAGCTGAAGTACAACGTTGAATCCTAGTTAGGTCTTGAAATGACAAACGAGAACCAAGGTACTAACTGAACGACTTAAGCTAAGTGTCCTCTTGAGTGACCTTTTAAATCAGCTGCTAAACCCTTTTAAAATATCTGAATGACGGTTGTCTCCCTTGGCTTTATGGACCCACTGTATTCCTCTAATCCCTACCATTTGCATATGATGTGAACTCCAGTAGACGTTCCATTCAGTCCGTACAGATGCTCCATTCAGTCCGTACAAATGAGTCCCCCCCGGGCACGTAAGAGTCGAATGGAGTCTTAAGCCCTCCTGTCGTTCTTTTATTTTTTCCCAATTGTTTCTGTTTCTAAGTTTTCACCGACATTGCGTTTTGAGTGCTTTTTCTAGATGTTTGACATAATTGCTAGTATCAGTTCATGGGGCGTGATGAGATTCCTTCTAACTTAGCTCACATCGTTATCAACACAAAAGAGCTCTGCAAAATCGTCTACAACAGCTATGCAGATTCTCGCCTTGGAAACCACTCTGTGGTTCGCACAAAGTACTGGAGTTTGACCTGTTTGATTCCTAGATAAAACAGCACTGAAAGTTCGACTTAGTACAGCAGCAACGAACAGACAACTATGAAAGTAATTAAAGGGAAAATGTCATTCAGGGGGCAGCTGAAGAAGAGGAAGTATTCCTGCCCGGACGAAGCGCTTTCTAAAGCAGAGGATGGGTCAAAATCCGAAGAGTCGGTACCTAGGGAAAGAAAGATTTCAGCTGGGGAAGAACTAACGCAAGCTATCATGCGAAGTCGCCGAAATGTTGACGACGTTGTGCGAAGGAGATATCAAACAATGCCGATTTTCGCAAGCCCCGACGAAAGCCAAAAACCTCCAAGGGCCGTTTCGTTTTGTCCAGAAATTTTACTCCTTTCGGCCGTCATGGAAAACAACACTGAGGAACTGGCCAAGATCCTGCGAGAGGGAAATGTCAACGTAAATCAAGCGAACTCCATCGGAAGGCTGCCGATTCACGAAGCTGCTTCGGAAGGCTTCGTAGAGTGCGCGCAGATCCTGATCGAGAATGGCGCGAATTTGACTCTGGAATGTTCGGAAGGTTTCACTCCGTTAGAAGCAGCTGTTATCAGCGGTAATTTCGAATGTGCAGAACTTTTGATAAGGAGTGGCGCACCGATTGATAAAATCAAAAATGGCTTTCTCGATCCCGTGTTCGCCGTGGGAAGCAAGATGGAGAGTCACAGTGAAGAAGAATTACACAATTGAAAGAACTTTAGTTCGAGAACAGGACAGATCCGCGGCTACAGGAGCAAAGAAGGGAGACATAAAGAGACATTGTTCACTCGGAGTGATTGAGAAAAACACGAAGTTCGAAAAAAACTGGAAAAACCAGTCATTATGTCAGTGCTAGAGATGCTTTTCGCAAATGTGAGAATAGATGTTCTGGTACAGAGAGAGCAGGCAAGCACGTTGTAAAGAGACATTCCTAAACATTCTTTTCCCAACTTAAGAATATCTTTTCTTTTGTTTAAGTCCATGTTTGTACACTGCAGAAATAGCTGCTCGGCAAGGTGGCCAGTGCGATTTTCTTACGCGAAATTTAGAAATTATACAATCTAATATAACATATATAGATACAATAAAATTGTATAGCAAACTTGAAAACTGTCCATTAGTATAGAGATCAAATATTCTGCTTCGTCTAATGAAACTGAACAATTTGGCGACGTGTTACTGAGTGTGGATGTTCTAGCAAAATGTAAGGGTGGATGCTAAACGTTGGAACGAACCAACCAATCTTAGTAGTTTTCTGTTAACTATGAAAAACAGTTTGCTAAAGATGTTTAATAGTAGCGTATAAGAGCCGGAAAAAATGGGGAAGGTAATTGAAAAATAAATGCCGAATTTTTAAACAGACATAACTCCTTTAATTCTTACACGTGCACTGTTAAGATATAACTTATTGGTTCTTTACCACACTTGGATGCATCCAACAGTAAAGAAGTGACAAGAACAACGAACGGAATTGACGAAGCAAGACTGAGCTGATGTACCTCCAGATTCTCACGACTAATATTCAAGAAAATGTCTTGAGGTTTTAAGAAAGAAACAAGTGTGTTGTTGAAAGTGAAAGGGTAAAGGGCTGCTCGTCAAGTATTACACACGCCCATACACTTTAAACGTCATTTCTGAAAGTCATATATAGTATATATATCTTTTTAACCAAGCGCGAGGGCCGTACTGGGAGAATATCGGCCCGAGGTCTTGACAGTGCGGACCGAGCTCAGCGAAGTCCGTACAAAAAAGACCGAGGGCCGATATTCTTCCAGTACGGTCCCGAGCAAGCTTGGTTAATAAGAGATTTATAACACGACTGAAGTTCAAAGGGACACAAGTGCGGTATCATTCGGGACAGTTCCCGGTCCAATACTGAGAGAATATTGACCGGCAATAGAGCATTTTGATTGGTTGATTTTAGTTATTGGCCCTCTGACTGCCCGAGTCGTGTAATAATTCATAAACATTCGCCACCTGATAGCTTGAAAACGTTGTCTTTTAAGTAACCAGAGTTCGACTGTCGATAAGAGTTGGACAAGAAGCGATTAACAAGAACAGAAGACAATGAATGCACCAGTAATTTCGTGATAGTTCTCGTAAGTCTCCTGCTGTGAATATTTCAATCAAAACAGTTTATAAAACATCAAAGTGTTGGTAATCCTGAATGCACTAAACTCAATTAACTACAGACAAACTACTTCAAATTTGGTAATAAATATCTGAGTTAGAGCTTTTTAATCTCTGGAGAGTCTGGTACAAAATCAAGATTACCCTCCCCGGCTGTTAAGGTTGTCGTTTCTTAGCTTCTGTTTCTTGAATAATGAAGTGAAATTGTAAGGGGAATTTACATGTAAATCACTAGGGGTCAGGAGGCTTGAGAGACTTACCAAATTATTTGCGCGTATCAAATCGGTTTTCTCTAGTTCTTTCAAATTATGATTTGCTTTTGTCGGGTAAAATTACGGCAAATACTGACACCTTTAGAATTATCATTCACAAAACAAAACCAGTCATAAGTGTCGGCTGAATCAAAACTCTTGTAAGGTCACTGTTTTGCTTACATTCTTGCCACACTGACTTCAAGCTTTTGCCAGAGGCGTGTTTGGAAGAAAAGAAGATTCATAAAGAATAATAACTCATAAATCATTCTCTTTGTATCACACTCGTGGCAAATGTCTCAAATACTATATATGCCTCAAAAGATATATGCCGCAAAAGACAGCCGAGAGAATAAACTCTGCGCTAATTGTGGCAATAGCCAGTTATATTTAACTGTTCATGCTAATAAAAGTTGTTTTGTTAGCTTTTTGGAATGGAACATCTTTCGTGCTGTGACTGAAAATTATACCCACGCAGGTCAGCTATTTTGCATTTGACAACCACCGACCAACCAAAACATGAAAGTATACTAAAAGAAAGAGCTTGCAGGCGTTTGAATAGCGACAGACGGTTGGAGTGAACGAACTGGCAAAAGAATAAACGACAGAAAGAACGAAACGAAGGAGGCAAAAATGAGGCAACGAGCCAAAGCCCAAACAAACGAAGTATAGCTCAAACAAACGACAGAATGGACGAGCAAATGCAACAAGTTCTTGACAAACGGACGAAGCAAAAACGACGAAACGAACCAAGGCAAGATAAAAAGAATGAATGGACAATAATTGGCTCAGCATGGTGAGGAAACAAACAAAAGGTCAACAATTTTACAGAGGAAATTTCTCTCAGATAAATGTTTTACTGCGGTGTACCGCTGACAGAGCCAAGACTGATTTTCCTGCTGTATGGATGGGTATTATGTATGTAGTGGCAAACTTGAGTTGCACGTAGTGGAATTATTGACAAATAAATTTTAATTACGAATGGAGAACAGTAGCTTAACGATATCCATAAATGTTTTATCTTTCTTTTTGGTAAAGTTTTTTTTAGATAGCTTGGGAATATTAGGTGGATATTCCCACCAACAACAATGGTAATACCGGTAAAATATTTCTATCCCCTCCCCTCCCCTCCGGCAACTTTGGTCTGGGATCAAACACTCCACCATGGATTTGAACCTCGCTTGTACCTGAACGTCCTCAGACTCATCAACGAAGGTCTGTTTCCGATCTCGAAAACAACTTTCTTTGCCCAAGAAATCTTTTAGCACAAATAGGAATCCCCCAGAAGGGAAAATGTGATATATGCCAGAAGCTGCGAGTCTTCTTATAACACATCTGTCGCTGTCACTATAGTCTCGGACAAACTCAACAAGTGTACCCCTTTCGCTTCAAGGACCTTTCCAACCACAAGGGTCCCACTGACGTCCCTTCATGAGGCTCGTTTGTAGTCTTTCAGCCATCTGACTATTCTTCCTTCGTTTTTCTTAAGATGCGCAGGGTTACCAGCAATGTTGTGTTGTATTTTCTCCACGGTCTGGCTTTGAGCTCTGATAGCGATTTCCCCGAGATTTAAGGATTGAAAGGTTTTCTTGACCTGGCGAAATGAATTGTGTCGTGTTGTAAGGACATGGGCGTGATCAACGTCTTTATATTCCTTTTACAATGAAAAAAGGAAAGTTTCTTTGTTTCTTTCTTTCCGGTTGCTTACATATCATAGCTCGTATATCAGATCGCTAAACATGGCAAAGAACGTAAACGAAGGATTTTATCTCTCAGTAGAAGTTGGGTTGGGCTTTATCCCCTCAGAGGAGCTAACTGATAGTTTTGTAGCGTAGTTAAATATATGCAACGGAAGTGGAAAAGTGGACGTGGAAAGATGAAAGACAACTTCATAATACTTGCCAATTTCAGCTGATCTTTTGTGTGGAAACTTCCAGCCACCGCTTTAATGAGGTTACCAAACTTGTAGCTTCCAGCATATCTAACAAAAAAAAAGATTCAGTTCGGGACACAAACTAATGCAAACCAAAACATTAACACAAAACTATGGCAATCATATCCCTTTCTTAAAGCCCTTTCCCGTTACCCCATTTACGGTTCAAACCATGGTTTTCGTAATAACAACACGAAGTACCAAAAGTCACATTTATTCGTTCGCTATGCTATGTGTATTTGACTCACAATTCAGAATCAGTGTTGAAATACAGCAAAACCTGTAGAGATGATGGAAAGTGTGGTTCTGATTCAGCTCTTCCTCGATAAATTTGAGGAGAGGAGGGGAAGTTAAATGATTTGGGAGTTCACATGCTCTTGCCAGAGGATGAATTTACATGTACGTGTTTAGGCTAAGGTGTTGTTGAACACAGAAAGCATTGCACTAACATGCGTGGTACCTTTGATGGACACTTGGCCAAACACACCCCCTAGACGAGGTTGGCACCCGGTGGTAATTAAGAACAATCGAAAAACAGGGTACACTAAAGTGGGAGAGTGGTGTAGGAGAGAAGCAAATGGCGAGATTTGGTGAGAGTCTTCCACGAAAAAAATTGCGAGAGAGCATGACCTGTAACCATAGGCTTCAATGAATGTTGGTGAGCAACAAGAGAAATATCATTCTCCATTGTTCTCAACACCTGACTTAAGATTTTTCCATTCTCATAGAAGGTACAGTTGTTTAAGTGGTAGGTAATATCGTATCTACCTTCTTGCAAGAGTTTTCCAGTGTTTGAGTATAAAATCCCATCTATCGTCCGTCTTACCGAGCCCTTTGCCCATCATTTCTATCCAGAACAAGCTGTCTTGCGGACGAACTCTGTTTTCATCCAAACTAAACAGGAGATTCCTATTCAAGAAATAAAAATGGAGAGTCCGTCACAAACCTTATCTGACTGACTTAACGCTTGATTGACAGACTGAAGGACTGACTGAATGACTGACTGAAGGACTGACTGAAGGACTGACTGAAGGACTGACTGAATGACTGACTGCCTGGATAACTGACTGATTCACTACATCATTGACCCGCTGACTAGCTGAGTAAATGACTAAATTACTAAACGACCGACTGACTGGCTGACAGGCTGACTGACTGGCTGAATGGCTGACTGACTGACTGACTGACTGGCTGACTGGCTGACTGACTGACTGGCTGACTGATTGGCTGACTGACTGGCTGACTGACTAATTGACCGACTAATTGACTGACTAACTAATTAAATGCTGGATTCACTATTTGATAAACTGACTGACTTCCTGATGAATTACTGAGTGACTGACTGAATGGTTGACTGACTAACTGATGACCGACCACTTTGATGACTCAGCCAACGGCTGGCGGATTGACGGACTGACTGAATCTGCGACTAAGAAACCACTCGACCAACTAAATGACTGACCAGGAAATTTCCTATAAGACCGTCACTTTGTTGGAAACTGTACGTTACATTTATTAGTCTTAAAATTGGTGACATCATAAGTGATTTCGTTTGTCTATTACGTAACCAAACAGGATGTATGCAGCACGTGTCTTATCGCCCCATATATGGTGCTGTTCTACGTGCTTACAATGAGACGTGGTGTGTGTTTTCGTGAGAGTTGGGAGTGGGAGTTAACTGAAGTGTAATAGCAAAATCGAATCAAGAAAATAAATCGTGAGGACAGCTTTTGCACGTTTTCGACAACTTCAGTATTTAATAATTCAGGTCAAGAAAATCTCTCATCCATGCGAATACTATGAGAGAACACTCCTTTTGAGGTACTTTCTTATTTTTTACATTACAACCTGAGTGTTTTGAAACTAGAGGTACATGGGATGTAGTGAACCATAACGTTTAAGTCCCAAAGGACAGTTCCGAGTATAAGGATATTTGGGAAAAATGTTACCTTAATCTGATGTTTTTCGTATTGAATGACGTTATAACACTCATCAAGAACTTTCGGTCAGTATCAAAAGGCGACTGTTGGTAAACGGACCAGAGGTAGTCCCAGTCCTCCTCGCTTGACTTGTTTACTCCAAATGAGAAAGCCAGGTACCGGAAGTTCGGGCCTACACCTGGGAGACTGAGGAGAGAAAGAGATGGAAAAAATTCAGCGATTCAGGAAGACGAGCCTAGTAAGTAATCCGGGGTGAAATCAGTAACTCATGACTTCCCAAAAAAAAAAAAAAAACCCAGTGTTCCAAACTTCTAATGCATTACGACCGAATCACTGGAGGCCAGTGATTTTAAGAGCATACAAAATATCGTATGGAATGGAAATTTTGCTGGAGTTTCATTCATGGGACTTGCAATTTCTTGGGTTCGTCGGGAACAATATTTTGGCGTTAGGGATGACTGAAATTTTGTCCAAAAATAGATTTTTGTGACTTCCTGTTCAACAAGCAGAATATTTCTGAATCCGTCTATATGGACGAACACGCGCGCTAAGAATATTCTGATCTGTCCACATGGACGCACAGGCGTCCGTTCCTTGCGTTGAGAAGTAAAAGGAGAGATAACAAATCCACGATGTCCAAACCCTAATGTTTTACATGCTACACGGCAAACAAAAAATCGACAAAACTGACAATTTCCCTGAATGTGACGGAGTCATTACCTTCCAAGAGGAGTTTTCTTCAGTTGACTAAACAATTGAATAAAACGCTCACTAACGTCTTTTCTTTGACCACTCCTCATTGCTTCGCATAGCACATCATATCTGAAAAATCTGCGCAAGAGATCATAAAAAGTTCGTGCCGGTCAGGCTTTTAATTAATGAAACATAAATACAGCAACTGAGTGACTTCAAAAGTAATCCGAGACTACATTTGTCTTTCTTCACCACGTTTAATGATTGGTTTTAAAAAAAAAATTACTACCTCTCTCTCATGCAGCCAATAAGATACAAAGCAAAAACAAATGATCACTTGGTCTGGCTTTTCTTCAGGCTTAGAATTCTTCAGATGAATTCACCTTGACTTCCCATCGTTACTTTGTGATATCTGTCTTTTCTGATTGGTAAGTGATTATTCTGGTATGGGATTTTCGATACATATTTGGAAAGCTGTCATTTCTTGGTTTGTTTTCAAGTCTTGTTCAACCCTTTGGCCCGTAAGAGTGACCAGCATCTAATTTCTCCTGACCCCCTCCCCCCATGTTCCTCAACTCCTTGACCCCTAAGAGTGACTAGCATCTAATTTCTCCTGACCCCCTCCCCCCATGTTCCTCAACTCCTTGACCCCTAAGAGTGACCAGCATCTAATTTCTCCTTACAATATCACCCACGAATCACAGATGAAGGTGGCGAGAAGAAAGGAAATGATCACCTTCTAAAGAAGCTCTTGAATACCGATAAAGAGCTGGTTGGTATAGAGATCGAAAAGTATGGAGTATGTACATACTGATGTTATGGTGTTAAGGGTTGAAAAAGGAAAAAAAGGAATAGCACCTTTCCAGGTCAGTCCCTGTATCTTCCATGCCAACCAGGTCGATAAGATGATCCTGAAGGTGCCACAAGTAATTCTAGAACAAAGATTGCGAGGAGTGTTTGTAAGAAACGTTAAGATGCAGAACATTTCACAAATGAAAATGGAAAACTTCAATGGAAAAAGTCTATCCTTGGGAGTTTGTTTTAGTAACATCATAGAGATAACAAACGGCTAAGTAATTCACCATCGAAAAATATGGCGCATCCACATGTTTTACGTTTTCAGCCGACATCCGGTACATACACAGTTACTGCCAAATAAAGCCACACCACTGTCTTTATTATTTGAAGACATTCGTGAAAGGCGTTTGAACATTATCCCACGCAATTGCGCTGTATATATTATTACGTAGCAACAGTTACCTTGTACAGAAGTTTATGAGCTTTACTGAGCAATCCAAGGAGACACTTGGATTTACTTCTCACCAACGCCCATGGGACTGGGTGCCTTTCTTGCACCAGGTATGTCGAGAGGTTCAAAGCAAGGACTGGGTCTAGCAAACCTTGACTACCAAAAACATCATACAATAACAACACTCAGAAACACAAGAACTAGCTTTGTATAAATTGCAAAAAGAAACTCAAGGGTATCATATAAGAACAACATACAAGAATTAAGTAACTATCAAGTATTACAAACAAGTATCACTTACCAAGCAAGAGTGAAAACATCATGGATCAAACCAGCTCGGTCGTTTGGACTAAACACCTGCAAATGGTACGCAACATTAAAAAAAAAAATGAAACAGTTGTTCGGATTGTATTTGCGTTTTCTTTTTAATGTAAGGAATATAGCTTATTGGCTTGATCGCGTCATAATTTTGCTTTCCAATTAGTGTCTTGGTCTCCAAAATATGAGCTGATGGGTCAAGTACTCCTCACTAACTTCGTCGCCTTTCCCTTAACTACCCTATTTGCCCCCCTCCATCTCCCCCTCTAATTCGGTCTGACGCCATGCAAATGAAAACTTCATGATAATTCAAGAGGGTTACAATGAAGTAACACTCTGTTACCTTGTGATCTTTCCTGAGCTGTAATGCAAGTTTTTTCCAGTTTTCCTCGTCATAGTTTACCATGAAGAACCCCGTGGCGTTGATATTAGCCATTATCCAGCCACTTGTAGACGCTGTCGTTAATGAGTAAGATTCTGTCAAAAAAGCACAGAAAGAAAGCATCACAAACGCATGCTACCAACGAAGTAAGAAGAAAGTGCTGTATAAGGACAAAGCCGTTCTTCTAAAAAAATCCAGAGATTGGTGTGGCGCAATTATGATGACGGTAGCGGTATATTGTAAAAAATAACTTTTGAGTATCAAACGTAACAGACATTAGTATATATAGAATATATATTAACAGTTTATAGTAGAACAGTGGATTGCGTTGAAGGCACGCTCTGACTGGTTACTCAAAATCCGAATCTCCTTTGCCATTTACCTCCAAGCAACATGCGCGGGATTTGCGCCCGAAAATATTGTAACTGTTGCAGGAATTAAAAATTACTATCTTCTTTATGCGCTTTACTGTTCACTGTTTGCTTAACTATCCGAGATCTACTACTTCGATATCTTTTTTTAGACAGCCTCAGTAGGTTCTTTTAGTTATTTGGACCTCCCATAAAAATATATATATATCTTATTAACCAAGCGCGAGGGCCGTACTGGGAGAAAATCGGCCCGAAGTCTTGATAGTACGGACCGAGCGCAGCGAGGTCCGTACAAAAAAGACCGAGGGCCGATATTCTTCCAGTACGGTCCCGAACAAGCTTGGTTAATAAGAGATTTATTATACGACTGAAGTTCAAAGGGACACAAGTGCGGTATCATTCGGGACCATTCGGGACAGTGCCCGGTCCAATACTGAGAGAATATTGACCGGCAATAGAGCATTTTGATTGGTTGATTTTAGTTATTGGCCCTCTGACTGCCCGAGTCGTGTAATAAAAATGTATCCCGACCGGGATACAATTTGTATTTGTATGTTTTTGCCATATGGGAAAGTCTAAATATATAACATAACAATTATGTATGGTCCCTC